TAAATTATTTTTCACCACCCTATTAGTTTAAATGAGAAGCTATCTTTGCTCTATAGCTATAAAATGGAAAAATTAAAGTTGAGAAAAATAACCTAGAGTATGGTCGAACTTGTGGGTGTTTTGGTAATTTTCTTCTTTTTTATTTTAAATTGCACAATACAAAACAAATTATCTCCCATCTTTTAATTTATATCAAAATAATAAATTTTTTTTTTTGAACAGGAAGGAATGTGCAGGAGAAGGGGAGTAGTGCTTGGGATTTGAACCCAGATCATTATGTCCATCACATTCATTCAAGGGGTGTCCACTAAGTCACCAAGAGTTGGACAATTTATATCATGATAATTGAACGTAAAATTGCTTTTATATATTTATATACATATGTATATGTATATATATATACATAAAGAAGAAACAACTACTAATTGAATTTGAGCATGTGTACAAAGAGTTACAAAGAAAGGGATAAACCATTCAATCACCAGTCGGTCTTTCCATCTTTACGCTGTCAAATTCATTGCGGCAATTCTAACATGTAACGATTTCATAATAATAGAGTACAAGCTGATAAGTTTCTCCGCAATTGCATTCTATCTTTCTCAAAATTTGAAGGCAATACTTTTAAATTGAGGAGATTTACCTCAGAGATGGGTGACTATTCTTCTAGGTGGAAAGCTCCTGATGATCAGCAGGTGTGAGCATAAGTTGTGAAGCTTCCTCTGTACAGAGATTGACTTCACTAGTGAGCATACGGGGAAAACATAGGAGCAATGAGAACAACAGCGGTGGACCAGGTCTAACTAAAGTGAATCTGGAAGGCAACAAATCTGAGGCGGCAAAGAAATGTGCGTGCGTTGTTATTATCCAAAAAAAAAAGGAAGGTGAGAGAGAAGAAATTTGCGTGGCGTGGCCTAGCACTTTGTTGTCTGATAACCCTTAAAAATCATCTGGGCTCAGCCCCTTCAGTAATTCTGGGTCTAATACTTGGAAACGTTACAGTTTCCCAAACAGAGGAATGGCCT